GGATCTGATGGTAACCGCTACGAAGATCAATCTTCGTAAAGAAGCGGTTGCCTGCTATGCGGTCGAACAGCTCATCGGAACGAGGCATGGGGTAGTTGTTCTTAACCGTGTAGCGGTTGAGGCCGCGGTAGTCGATGCAGAGACGAAGAGTTCCATCCGCTTTGCGAGCAAAGAGGACGGGTGCACCCCACGGGGAGTTGCTGGTTTTAATGAAACCCAGTCTCAGGAGCTCCTCAAGCTGACGCTTGAGTTTAGTGGCCTCGGGGATCGAGAGTCTGTAGGGTGTCAGGTGGTGAACACGATAGTCAGGCACGAGCTGAATGGAGTGCTCGATGTCGCGCATCGGTGGGATGCCGGCGTACGAGAACGACGATGGGAAAACGTCATGGTACTCGCGGATGAGGTCACGAACTGCGGGCTCCAGGTCAGCCGTATATCGTGCGAGTTCCTCAGCGTCAGCGTCAGCGCCCGACGGCGGGGTGGACTTGACGGACGGCGAAGGGACGAAAGTAGAGATGGGAGCCATGGAGATAGAGGGAGGATCTGGCTCCAGAGGGATGAGCTCGGCATCGGGACAGGGTGGATCATAGTGTAAGAGATCCGTCACTTCCACCATAAAGAAGGTGACGTCGTCCTGTCGAATGAAGTGAGCGAATTGCCGAGGCGAGGTGACAGTGATAGAGGGACATGGTGTGGGCACTGAAGGCTCCGGGGGAGGAGGATCGGGGCGTGGTATCACCGTGGTACCTATGAAAGGTACGCGATACGTCTGTCCACACTTCGTTTTGAGAACGAGAGTGTTGGTCGCCCTATCGGCCTCGGTGCTGCGGAACCGACGAGACCACGGAGTGCCGAGAATGAAGTCGTACCCCGTCTCCATCACATCGAAATGTGCAGAGGAGCAGTGGCGACGAGACGCCGGGGAACGATCAGTCAGCTCGAGAGTGAGGAAGAAGGGGAGGTCGGTGACCGTCTGATCAAAGAAGCGCTGGGTCGAGTCATCCCCTAGGGTAACGGAGATGGGAGTCGGAGACCCTGTCGTGGGTAAGCGGGCTTCCTTCACCACGCGTGGGTGAATGAAGTCGCCTTGAGAACCGGAATCCCACAGCGCTGAGTACACCCTCGTGGAGGTCCCGAGTCGTACTGGATGATCGGAAGGGTGCGATCAGGGTCAGAGAGGATGGCGAGAAGGCGACGCAGTGCAGCGACATGGAGGGTGAGTCGCTCCTGACGAGCCTGGAGCATGCTCAAGTCCAGAAGAGAGGCCACAACGTCCTCGCAAGTAGCAAGCTGCTCACTGCAACGGGCTGAGCGAATGGCTCGACGCGTCGGTAGTCGCGGCGGGGAAGGAGGGGAGACGGTGGTTTGCGGAGGCGCAGACGGTACTGCGACAGAGGGCTAAGTACACTCTGTCGAGTCCTGCGATACCTCAACTCCAGTAGCGAGAGGGGCGAACCGCGATGGAGATGTCGGGAAGTCCACTACTGAGGAGGGCGCAGGTGTACACTGCACCGTGGCTAGGAGGCGCCGCGGGGACGTGAGGCGCCGGGGGGGGACTGAGCACGACGCTGAAGAGAAAGATCAGCATAGTGGCGGTCGAGGGCAGTAGTGTAAGGGCACCGCGAGGAGGTATGACCGTCCAAGCGACAGCGCAAATACACACGTCGGCCCAGAATAGCCGCGCGCTCCTCAGCGGAAAGGACACCGCGAGGAGGGACGAAGCCCTGAGGGAGGTCCTCCTGAGGGACCTCGGGGGGCGACGCGCCAGCGTGACCGGGGCGGCTGCGTGCCCGAGAGAGGGCGGAGAGCGCAAGCTGAAGGCGCTCAGCTCCAGGGAGGGTAGAGTCCTCCAAGTGATAGTGGACGGCCTCGCAGAGATCGAGGTCGTCGCTGTGGTCGCCCTCAGGTGACAGCGGGGTAACAGCGTCCTGCTCACCATACTCCAGCGCGCTGAAGCGGCGCGAGAAGTGGCGGCCCTGCTGCGTGGAACGGCGGGGGCGACCGCGGAAAGGGGAACGGCGCTGGGAAGTGCCGTGAGAGGAGGAGGAGGCGTAGCCCGTGCGCTGGGGCTGGGAGGAGGAGGCGGGGTGAA